CTGTGAATGATTGCCCTTTGATTGCTCTTCCTAGTGGAGTAATTAAAGTTTTTTTTTAAGATTTGGAAGGTTGAACCACATTGGCCTAGCGCATAGAATTTAGCTCTGAAGGGGGGAGTGTTTTCTAATTTTTGTTTTACTTCAGTTTTAGACAAATGTACTCATTTACTTTTCACTAAAGTAGTTTGGTCACTAGCATTATAATTTACTGTTTCGTCGTCTAAAGTAGAGACAACTACATGAAGGGGGGGAGGAGATGTTGAAGTGAACTAACGACCTATGAATATTTAGCCACTAATTAGACTAGCATTGAAGTCACTTTCTATGGTCATTTAATTAGTTTGTTTTGTAAGGGTCATACTGTTAAACTACCTAACAAAATATTTTAAGCTATGTTATGAATATTTACATTGAAAGTAAAAGCTTAGTAGACAATTGCCAACATTTTATTTTATTTAAATTAATAGGATTGTGTCAGATAAACTTTTTTCTGCTAACTTGTATGCAATTATGAGCTCAGTTTGAAATATTTTAATGATTTCACATCATGGTGACCCGCAATCTAGGTGCAGATGGTTTATTGCTTTGGACAGGTGACTTGTACCATGGAGACCTTGGGTAAAATCTCGTCAATCACCTTTGGTGATTAGCAAACATTTGAAGTGATTATTACTTAATATGGTCGTTCGAACGCACCTTTAGTTTTGGACCCAAATATTTCTAAAAAAAACGATAAATGTCTCAGTTGGAAATTGGAGAACCCTTCATAACAATTATTAAGTATTTTAAATGAAAGCTATTCTTTGTCTACTAATTGAACTAATTTAAGCTTTTACAATTTGTACATACTATGCTTGCTTGAATTTAGGTAATTATGGATGCTGATTTAACATTGCTGCTTCAGTTGTAATCAGACATTACGGACAAAATGTGTGACAATTGTTATATTTTTATATCATTATGCATAAGTTGTACTATGTTAATTGGGAGCAGGCTGGTATGGGGAGCTTGCTGGTCTGGCGTGGGGCTTCAAAGCACGAGGTCCCGGGTTCAAATCCCGCCAATCACCAATGGGTTTTATCCATGTGATAACCCTTTAGGACTAGCCTGAAGTAATGCGTAAACAGTTCCAGGCTAGAACCTAGCATCCTAGGATGTATAGGCGGGACATACAATAATAAAATAAACAAACTTAATGGACTTTGTGGTGGCATACAGTTTATATTTTTTTATTTATCACAGCAGCAATAAAGACTATGTATTGACAAATTAAATTACCCAAGGCCACTTTGCCAAATCACGGAACACTGAATTATTGCTAACCGATATCACCAATTTTCTCAAATTACTGAACACTATTCTTCCCAAATCATCCCCAGAATACTGGTTCACCGTGTTTTACGACTGGGCCTACATTATTGAAGTGAGTGTTTCAAGCTTTGGCGGAGTATCCCCTCGCGGAAGGATACAAACGCACCTGAGTCACTGGGGATCAAATTGAACAGAATGTGATATCTGAAGGGAACAGAGAAAAACTCTTAGCCACGTGTCAAAACATCCCCCTTCTGCAGGTGGATCATTGTACGCACTTTTCTCAAGTTTCAGCATCGACGCAGATAATGCGTATGGATGTCGAAAACAAGGTAACACGTTCACCACTAACACTTTGCGTCAACAGAATAAGTGGAAAACGAAAGAGGGAAACGTATATGAGTGTACAATGCATTTGAAATTTGAATTAGAAATGTGCGTTGAAAAATGTTTGTAATTTCATGTCAATTATTTTAGTCAGATAATTGAATGTAACAACTAAATTATAACTAACGCGAAGTTCCGTACATTTTATTTGGATTCTAAGAAAAAGTTGTACTTTCAAACATAATTCTTCTATGTCAAACATAATTTTAAATAGACAGTTTAAAAAACTGATCTGTCTATTTTTGACAAACGTGTTCCCCCCCAAATGTTTCTCGCTACCATTTTCAGACTAGCCTATCCAAACGGGTCAAACCATGCACGCTGCTGCAATAAATTAAAATAATTTAGAAGACCGATTTCTTTTATGATTTGTAACGACAGTTTAAATATTGTACAACGAAGTCAGTCAACGTGATTTTGAACAGCACGGATAAGATGTTTGACTCATCGATATATCATAAACATTCATTTTAGTCCAGGAGCTGAGGGGGTTTGAGCATGCATGAAAGTAGTACGCAATGTTATTGCTGATTATTGTAATATGGACTGTGGTGATCAAAATTACGTATATCGCCTATTTCAAAAGTGGGCGATAAGGTTAGGGGAGGGGGCAAACATGGCGGGGGGGGCGCTATGTGTTAAAACGATATTTCGAAAACGGTAACAGATAGAACATTGGTTAAAACGTTGTTGTAATTCTAAAAATGTGGACTACAATAATGATATCTCTATAGATAAACAAGTTATTGTATAAAATATGTAAACATAGACTATTCGTGTAGTTTTTTTTACAGAAAGTAGAATTAATTTGTGAGTGTCGCAAAGAAGTAATATCAAATATCTTTGCTGATAGTTGTAATATGGACTGTGGTGATAAAATTTATAAATTCTGACTAGTCAGAAGCCAATCCATCATGACCTAACAATCTATTTAGTTGCTATGTGTTGATTTAGAACGAGACATATTAATAAGTGAAATGTAAATATTCTGGAAGCTGGACAGCAGAGGCATCTCAGGATTTCCCAGTATCCAGTACCTGGGGGTGGTGAGGGTGACCATGGGTGGGGGGGGGGGGGCGACAGCATAGGCAGGTGTTATATTTCCGGGAGGACGAAGAAGATAACGCACGCATGCATAAGCGGAGGGGATTAGGTAGGAATACAACACCTGTTGTTATTTTTATTGCACCGTGAAATCAAGAACCGGTAGGTAGAAGAATGCATTCTACTCCTGGCCTTGTATAAGAATGTGGTCTTGAAATGGTTCAAAATGTATTATGGTTTTGGTCAGTCTCCATCTTAAAAAGACTGCAAATGATTAAAATAGGCCACCATGTGTAGGTAGCCCTACAGAAAGAAGCTGGAATCAAATCCCCCTTTATTCTGTCTTAGCCCTTATTTTTGTAGTAGGACAGTATAGTTTTAAATGTTGAATTTAATAAATAATAAAGTAAACTTAAACAGCGCAGGTGAATTTGATTACCCTGTAAGAACCAGAAAACAATATTTTATCCCGCTAAATATTCTCAATATAGTTTATAATAATTAATTATACTAATATTTTTTTCGTACACACATCAACACACAACACATCAATGTTTTTGGTCAACACATCAATGGACCTGTTCCGTTAATTCACTACCGCTGTATAGTTTGTATGCAACAATATACAGTTGAAGTTTTAAAGTTCTTGCCTAGCATAAAAAAACATAATAATAAACAATTTGTGTATAAAATGTTAACATTTCAACCTGAAATTTGCATGTCCTTTTACAACATTTCCTAGTAAGGTTGTGAATTAACGTAAAATGTCCCCAGTATACGTACTTACAATAGGCCTAATCATTTTATTACGGTTTTGTAAAATACATATGTTAATTAACATACAGAAAGCTCTTCGGGACTTAAAATTGCATGTTAACATACCCAACACACAGAACATGCAGAAAACCGAAACAATTTACTTTTGACAAACCTAATATCCGACCGCTGCGTGTTATCAAAAAATCTGTGAACATCAACTTTTTAATTGAAAACTCGGTCACTTAGTGATAACACCGGTTTCAGTGATAGGTGTTATCACAACGGTGTTATCTTATCAAAGGTGTGACAGACCCGATGTTAGTTTTGGCGGGTATCAATGCACAGTATCGCTACACCTGAGCGAATACTTGGCGAGGATGTTGTTGTAGTGTTCATGATGTAGTTTATATAGTAACAACTATCAAGTTACTGAAAAAAATTCATAACTTGCACATACATTCCCTTTCTTAAGCTTGACTTGGAATGATCCATTGTATAAGGACAAGGACTTAGCATGTCAAGACTAATGAATTATCAACAGTTTTCTGCTTGAATTCCAAAAAAATGTATTTTGTCCTAACTGGAAAACAATATTTAAGCATTCAATTTGGAATTTGAGGTTTCCTTGTTTCAAATCAGTTGTCGACTAGGAATACAATATTAAAAATCGTTTTAGTGAGACCTTAACTACATAATGTTAATTAAAAAATCATGTCATAAGTCAGGAATTAAATTTTCTACAAAACACTCTTAAGCATTTTCCGTAAATTGCACTCCTTCGCCTTTAAAAAACGTTCTATACTTCTAAAATTTTAAGAATTTATCGGATTTTTGCCTTTTTTTATTGAACAAGAATTTTGTAAAGATGTGACTAGCTGGCATGCTTGTTCAATAAAAAAACCCTCAAAATCAGGTAAATTTTACAAATTTTAGAAGTATAGAACGTTTTTTGAAGGCGAAGGTTTGCGACAATAATCCAACAATAATAGTAAGACAACAATAATCCTTTTAAAAGTATTTAAAATAATTACATAATAATACCATTCTAAACAATAGTTTTGTAATGTTGAAAAGTAGCTAAGATAAACTAATACTTCTTAAAAAGTATTAAAAACACTTTCGATCGATTGCCTGTAAAAATTACAAATCATACAATTAAGATTTATTTCACCCATTAGCAAATAACATGAAATAACTAGGGACAGGAACCAGAATTTTCTAGACAAACATCGCACAATTTTCTCGTTTTAAATTATGCTCACAGTCAGATGGAATTAACATGAAAATTACTCTTGATCGCGTTTCGATTAAAATGCTAATAGAGGGAATTTCGGCGACCCGATTTGCGCACAACGGCTTTACAAGTTTGCAATGCAGGTTTGGTTTTAATTTGAACTGGCGCTTCTAGAGCGTTCAACCTGTGTTGCAGCTGACAATAATGACCTTGACTGTGCCGCCATCGGTGTGGGAGTGAGAGCGAAAACAAAACAGGTTGTCACTCGGCGGGAGGACGTTGTGTATCCAGTGTTGCCATTGTTGTAACAGAAAAACTCAATTTATTTACACGTTTTCTAAACCACCAGTTCCGAATGCCCTTTCCCGATTGTTGTCCAACCATATATTATGTTGTTGTGTAGTTATTAAACACACGATTTACATTGTTGTCAAGTTAAATACGCGTTTTATCCGTCGTCTCCCCACCAGTCGAGGATCTATTTCTCCGCGCCGCCGCTAGGAGCGCGCGACGCTCGCGCTTCAGTCTTCGTCAGAACTTCACTGTGGTGTCACACGTAGCGTAATAGTCTGAACTGACGATATTGAAGTTGACGATATTTTCCCAAATTATTACGAACTGTGATTCATCCTAGCGCGCGTATGTATGGATAAACTAACTTGTGCGTGAGTTAACCGGAGTTTGTGGCATTGGGAGTGGTACGAAAACTTTCTAAAGTGTTTGTAAACAGGACAACAATGGGCGGCAGTCGACGAGTGTTAGGAGTGATTGTACTCTTCACTTATTTATCAGGTAAGAATTCATTAATTGTTGTAAAGTTTGAATCTTTTGGTGGCGTTGAGAGTGAAAATATATGACTAACAAATTGAGCAACTTGTTTCGTAACTACTTTCGACGATTACAGTTAGTTGAGAAGTGTCCTACTTTAGTTACAAGTTCAGTTCACTGTTGTGTTTATTGTTGTGATAACTTCGATGCATTGTTGGTTTGTTTATAATGTATTTCAGTTTTCGTTTTTGAAGATAGTGAATGTCGTAACCACAGATTTTAAGTTACATTAATTTCGTGTAAACTTAAGTGTGTTTTACCAGTTTCTAAAATGTAGGCCTATTAACATTTAGGATTTAGTTCAGATAGCCTTTGTTATACCATCTTCAAGTGAGTTTAATTCAACTCTTAAAGCGGATAAATTGATAAATAAAGTTTGATTCTGAACTTATTCTTTACCTAGGTATATCAATATTGTCAGCAATGTTTTGTTGGTTTGGTTACATAAATAATCAGAAAACTTAGAAAGTTGGAATACAGAAATAGCTACAGGCTAGATTTAAACGTTTCACATTCACTGAGGTTCTGGATGTTAAACGCGGCTAATTAAATTAATGCGTTTAATTTATAACGTTTCAGGTCGATAGATATTTTTTTACTTTTTTAACTGGGTTAAGTAGGCTGTAATGTACTAACCTGTACCGAATTATATTAAAGACAAAAATACCTGTAGGCAGTTGTTAAATAAATGTTTTGACACTCTTCTAGGTAAAAACCAGGATATGCAACTCAGCTGATTTAGAACGTAGTGCATCGGCAATGCAGTACCAAGCGACCTTGAATATCAAGTAGAAGTGCATTGAGCGGGATGGAAATAGCTTTACAGACCATGTAAACTGTAATCGGCTCTGTAAACTTGAGTTTTAGTTTGTGTGTCACTTTGTGCTCAGCTAGTCCTTGCTTTCTTTTTTGAACGAAGCAGCTTTTAATTCAAGGCCATTTTCAAAACAATCTCTCATTGTTTTCGTGGACGATAATTTGTACATCTCCAACTGCAATACTGTCTCGATTTTGATAGGGGTTTCGGTTGGATAAATTTTTTTTATATTATTGGGTTTTTGTAAGTCTTTATTTAGAGGCCTTTCTTATTTAAAAGTCCTTAAAGTAGATAAGTTATATATAGGCCTACTCTGTTTTAACCTGTTATACAGTACTTACTACATTTTACCTGTCGATTTCGTCGGATGTCGGAAACGAATTAAAATTACTGGTATAAATCGTGGAAATTTTATATAGGCCTATGTGAAATAAACAATTAATTTTATGGTAACCTGATTTCATTACCTCTAAAGTATAACAATAAAACGTAAAATATGTTTACATCGGTGGTCTTTCGGTGTAAAAATATGCTACGTAATTTTTTAGGATTTTAACTCATAAAATATTCACACTAAATTAACTGGAGTTGATTATAATGAATCAACTCTACTTAAGATGGATAGTTTAAAACATTCTGCTCCCAAGTCACATTACCACACCTGTAAATAAAATGCAAACTAGCTAATTTACGATCTAGAGTGGGAATAGATCGTTCTCGGCCGTTGATCAGCTGATTTTACATAGACTAGTTGTCGTTTCTACACTAATCACAACCGGTGAGCTAATGACATAAGGCCTAACCTTAAAAAGCAAACATGACAAAATGGTATTTTAAAAAACCTAACAGTTTAAAATCTTGTGTTAGTTATGGTTAATCATTGTCGGGTGAGGTGAGTGCGGCCATCTACAGTTCTCGAGCGGCAATGACGAGTATCGGCGAAAGAATTTTCTTCCTGTAATAATCAAGTTTCGATAGTATTTTTTGAGTGTGAAAATAATTCCCTATCGTGTAGTTTGCCAAAAGACGCGTGTTTTAAATAAGGTGTTATACGAAGTCTGATACGCTAAACTCTAGCCTAGCAATAGGATACAACCCAATGAATACCGGTACGTTTTACACAGGTAGTGTTGCCATTTTAAAACAAAACGAGGAAAGTCTGAAACCCCTGAAATACCTGCTAATCCTCAATGCACCGAGAGATGACAAGTTATTGTCTAGGTCCTGCAGGGCAACGTCCTGACGGTGAACGTAGGGTTTTGGCCGTTGCCCTCGTCAGCTACAGGTGGGCAGCTATCAGCTGATTGTGTCACTGTGAGTTATAGGCCTCAGCTGATATGATCACGTGACCTCAGATTTAATTACCATGTGACTGACGCTCCAGGGTTGCTGCAGCAGGATGTTTAGGGTGATTGATGATGATGTCTGTCCTGTGACCGATAAAGGTACACTCGCTGACGAGGGCTGTCACGGCTATGTTTAAAATGTGAAAAACAAAGAACTGTTTGTTGTGGTTTTAGATTGCAATTTATCATTATGAAATTGTTGTTTTTAGAAATTCTATTTTTGCCATAGTTTTCTAGTTATAATACGTTTCGGGGCATTATATCTTATAACATGATCCTTTCTTACCATTTTCTCCCTAATTCTAGTATAAGATGCAATTGGTTTTTTTCCGTGGAAAACTATTGATACTTGGCACGACATTATTTTACAGAAATCCTCATAGATCATGCTACCTAGATCATTAAAGCGAGATAGATAATTATGACAAAAATTAAGAAAAAATCATCTAAACTAAGCATTATATTTGATCGAAAATCATCCCTATGGTTTCAACTCTGTTTATGAGCAGACCTTTTTCATTTTTGGCATTTCATTCACATCAATACGTGATCTTCATAGTGATGCGTGTTAGCAAAATTATTCTCAATTGATTTTAAAATTCTGACATTCAAAATTGAACATTTGGTATCACTGGGACATCTATATAGATTTTGAAAAAATATGTATTTTGACTAGTTTTTTCAGCCCTATTTAATGCTAACTTATGTAGTGTAATAGTATTTTACCACACCTTTATGCATAAGGTTTTATAAAACACGATTTTGGTATAGGTTTGTAGTCTTAGATTTGAATGTTAGTCCGACAATAATGATTGCAGTATCCGGACTTAACTTAAGTTGTATATAATTCTTCCAGAATTCTTCATAGACTCTTCTGAGATCGATCAAATTAAATTAAAAGTATCCAATATAAAAAAATCAAGTACAATACAATTGTTCCAGTTTCATCCACTAATAAATGTATTAATTCCTTCAAAGTACTCGCAGGCTCGCCAATAGCGTGTTCGCCCTGGCAACAATAAGTTCCCGCCACCCCGGGTAATTCCTGGTTTCCGTTTCCCGCGTAATTTATTATTCAATTGGCGCATGTTTACTCCAGGGATGCAGACCGCAGCGATGGTCAGTTCGGTGCTGTGGAGAACATGCAAATAGGGAATTGCCGCATTCCACCATACAAGTATACGAGAATTTGAGAGGAGGGATTAGGAGTAGAGAAAACTTGAAGAACTCTAATTATCTTAAAAACTCGACTAATCATTTTGGAAACTATCTACATCAATTTGATTTAAGATCTATTGCTGAAGATCGTTATATTTTGAAAAATGTATACGCTTAAAGAAGTGTAAATTGATGTGTAACGATGTTGGTTAAACAACATTGCCTACGAGGTTTATTTTGATAAAACCATTTAGTAAACCTAATATGTCTGAAAATGGGGCAAAATTACATATAAAATAGGAATTTTCAAAAAAGACAAATTAAGCAGTAGAAATGCGTTAGGCTAGTTATTTATTGATCATAGACATACTTGCATAGAGTTTTAAGAGAGGTGTGTTCTTCTGCAAAATACCCTGTACTTTGTTTACTGAAAAACACATCTTTCCCTTACAGCTTTTTATTCCGCTTTGTATTAATACATTCATTCATTGATTTTATCAATGCGTTTAAATCAAATTATCTGCAATAAATTTTTTTTATTGTCGAAGAGAGATTGTCATTTAGTTATATAATAAATTTAAATTAAAGTAATATAACTTAATAATTTTGTTAGTACGTAGAGGGCCCGGGATTGAATTGAAATAGATTGTGTCGCAGCCCACCTTCAAGCTAGAATACAAGGAAGGAAAATGTTCAACCCTGGAAAACAACAACAAGTATGGATGAATTTCTAGATCCTACTGTTTTTTAATATTTTTATATGCGTGACACATAATTTACGCAATCACCCTTGAATTACAACTTAAGTTTCACATTAGTTACAGTAAGCAGAGTAATTAGCTGTTTTCTTCGTTACAAACCGATGCCACAATCAATCTGCTCAATTACCAGAGTTCCGTCTCCAGACAATACAATCAGACGAAAGAGCGGCAATAAGCCGCCCTTATTTTTCCACTGACGCGAAAGATCCCTCTGATTTCGCCGTCCCCAAAGACAAATTCACCCGCGGCCACGATTAAACTGCCAAAGTCTTGAGCCATTAAACGTTTCCATACGATCGCCCCATCGGTAATTATTAACCAAATAAATCCCTCCCCCGCAATAAGACTGAAGGATGATTTCATTAGAAACCACACAAGGCATCTCCATCCCCCTTGTAGGCTTGCTGTGGTAGGGGGTGATGTTGGGGTGATTGTAGTGACAAAGCCTGGTGTATACTGTGTAAGCAGCCGGAGTTTCTCAGGGGTATAGAGTATTGCAAAACTGAATTATGGGACGAAGAGTAGTGGAATCGCTACCAGTAGTGTGTGGAGGATTTCGTGTAGTACATAAATTGAAAAAAGCTAATATAAATATTCTCAACAATATGTAGAATATTTCATTTAGAATATGTGCTTTGATGTCTATGAAGCGATCATTCTTGTTTTTTGTGAGGTTGTATAAAATTGTTATGTTTTTGTTAGAGAAACAACAATGACATGCTTTCTTGCAGGGTCCAGAGTTGACCCCTGTATTTGTTAATAGTATAATTGGTTTCTAATTTATTTAAGAAAACACATTCTTTGGATCCAACATCTAATGAAATAATTAGTTAGTTCATGCAATATAACTTGCTCCACACTCTTAAATAGATATCTTTAAAA